TTTGGAATTGCCTACCGCCTCACTAAAATGACCCCTCCTGAAATATGTTCTTGCCATGCAAAGGTAAGATTTTTTAAATTAAAAATTAATTAATTCTTGACCTGATCACATACGCCACCCAAACACATAAGTAGTGTAGGGTCTAAGCAAAAACTGGGTTCTTGGATGATGGGTGATACATGTACGCTTTACAAATAATCAGCAAAACAATGTTTTCACTGCTTATTGACATTTTTATCAACAGTTTGTAAGTTCAATTTTGAAAATTTCTCTCCCTCCCTCCTTGATCTGAAACCCACCAGGTGGCAAATCCAATCTAACAAGTTTTTTTTTAATTTATGGATGGCCTGAGGTGTGCTATTTCCTAGACGGATTAATTCAGCCTTTGTAAAATTTTAGTGAATTGTGGAGATTTTACGCAAAAAATACATTATTGTTAAAATGAATATCATAGAATTTTTTGTCATAATTGACGTTCATTTTTACTTTATTTTTCGCACAAAATGTATTGTGTTCGCCTTGTTCGTCCATCATCAAAGCAAGTAGGATAGATTTCATGGAATTGCTATTCACAGACATACCAGGATTGTCACAAATAGTCATGGACAATATTTAAAACTCTATTAATATTTATCCAACGCTGACCAAATTTTGTCTGATTATAATTTACGAAATGTACCTCAAAATGATGAATTGTTAAATAAAAAAAAAAATCTTTTATAGCATATTTATGACGATTTATAAAAGGCCGATATTGTCTGTCGGCGCAGACCGTAACATAATACATTACAATACGTAACATTACATATGTTACTATTGCAATTGCTTTGGGTTGCCCTGTCTTATTGATAATACGTAAAACACAAAATTTAAATTCATATGAGGTGAATTAGAAAACATGCATGTATAATATATATAAAATGGCATTGGAAACAGAGGAGTGCTGACACAATATCTAAAGCGTACTGTGAATCAAATTTTCTGCAAATCGTCAAACTCGTCCTAGGCGCACAGGAATGAAATAAAATATGGGTTTTATTCTGATAAACCCCCCCCCCCCCCCGAAACGAAAAAAAATATTAAAAAAATGATAGAATACACTACAACATTAGCATGGTAGTTATTTATAAATGGCATAAGAGATTCCGGACAGTTTCACCTCAGAACCGGAAGTCGTCCGCGTTGGGTAGTGGTTAAAGCGTTTACTACATAGTCGCGGAGTAAGGAGATAAATCGATGATTCTTACGTCGCGGGTTCGAATCCCACTCCGGGACGTGGAGATAGGTCGTGCGGATGAAACCTATAAAAGCTTCTTGTTGCAGTAGGTGCTGGCACGAAAAAGATATCTCACTGCTAAAAGGCTGAAAGTGCAGTGTACAGGTCTAAGTTTGCAGCCCTCTATCAGCAAGTGGTGGAGACATTGTATGAATAAAGAATTCTTTTCTGGACGTTAAACAAAGAAACAGTAACGAAAACAGCAAGGCCTAAGAAGAAGAATCATGATCAAGAGTAATAATAATTATTAAATTCAGGAGGTGAGTAATGTTTTATATCACAGTCGACATGAAACTGTGTAATCTACGTAGTCCTTGGAAGGACTTAAAGTTCAATCTGATTAAGGAATTAGAAAGACATGGTGAATTTTATTGCGTTCCGGAGTCAAGAATGGTTTGTCAGTGTGTTTGAAAGAAAGCAGTGAGACTCACTGAGACGAATATTGCACACAAAGGCCAGTATTTTGATAGAAAATGATCATCAGGTTATAAGAGACTTTGATTATATTCGCTTCCATGTGCCGATCTACACGGTCATTTTCTCTTTGTTTTACATTATTTTCTTATTAATTGTGTTGATCTTATGAAATTTAAAGGGGCTAGGACAAAATCTAAAGTAAATATTTTCTAAAATTTTCAGAATGTCATGTTTTATATGTTGCTAGAAAATTTCAGTCCGGAATATAATAAAAGTGTTTAGAAACTTCTCTTTTCTTGATATTATTACAACTACGAATTTCGGGCCGCGTTTGATATGCACATATCCTTGCATTTTCAGGGAGTAAATCTTATTCTTAATGCTTAAGAAAAGTAGAAATGTTGTTGTGCATTAATGGAAAATATCAAACTACAATCCAGGAAATTCAGAGTATAAATTTGAGAAAGCAAAACCAGATCACCAGTATTTTGAGTCTGTGCTTAGTGATGTGTGCAGAGTAAACAAATTGAACACACCTGGTAATACCTAAACAGTAACAGAACTACTGCCCTGCTTACAAACACATATTTTTAACGTAATGTTTTGAAAAATGACGCATTAAATCCTAAGAAAGTCGTTGTCATTGAATTCTAAGAATATTTATTTATGTTCAATTTATTAAACTGAAGTCATTTTTGAATAAAAATAAAAATTTAAAATTGTATGCAATGTAACTGTGTCCAGGTTCCTTTAAAATTATTGATAATCAAATTTTTCCCTTTAATGTGACAAGAAAAGTAAGTTAAATTAGCAAAGAGAAAAACAATTTTTCAACGTATTTACGACTATTTGTTGTAACCCTCGTAGGTATATTATCTAGACTAAAATCTTTATAATTATTCATGTTCCTGTAATAAGGCGCACTTTTTTCTTTCGTCAGATCGATTGTTAACTGTTCATACAAATTGTTAGGCCATTACTTTTACACTAAATTATCTAAAGATTTCTCCGTTTAACCAATCATGACAAGGGGCACACGTCGGACGTGACAGGGGTTGCTTTCTCCTCCATGGCACCTGGTTTCAACATCTGTTTTCAAGGGTCCTTTTTATCACAATTGGTTTTGTTTAAATGGACTGATGAGCAGACCACTGTCTCTTATCTTCACTTTTCATGATGGAAAAGAAGAACAAGAGGCCCATGGGCCACATCGCTCACCTGATTAACTTTGGCCTTGCTGTTTTACACCTGATTTCTGCCCCCTCCCTTGTAGTACTTATTGTGGCCCTGCCCTACCCCAAGGGCTCATGATTTGAACAAATTAGAATCTACACTACCCCAGGATGCTTCCACATAAGTTTCAGCTTTTCTGGCCCTGTGGTTCTTGAGAAGAAGATTTTTAAAGATTTTTACTACATATTTCAATGTAAAACTTGAATTCCCTATTGTGGCCCCGCCCTACCCCCCGGGGTCATGATTTGAACAATTTAGAATCTACACTACCCCAGGATGTTTCCACATAAGGTTCAGCTTTTCTGGCCCAGTGGTTCTTGAGAAGAAAATTTTTAAAGATTTTTACTACATATTTCAATGTAAAACTTGGATTACCTATTGTGGCCCCGCCCTTCCCCGGGGGTCATGATTTGAACAATTTTAAATCTACACTACCCCAGGATGCTTCCACATAAGTTTCAGCCTTTCTGGCGCAATGGTTCTTGAGAAGAAGATTTTTACTACATATTTCAATGTAAAACTTGGATTACCTATTGTGACCCCCCTACCACCAGGGGTCATGATTTGAACAATTTAGAATCTACACTACCCAAGGATGCTTACACATAAGTTTCAGCTCTTCTGGTCCTGTGGTTCTTGAGAAGAAGATTGTTAAGGAAAAATTTACTACATATTTCAATGTAAAACTTGGATTCCCTATTGTGGCCCCGCCTAACCCCAGGGGACATGATTTGAACAATTTAGAATCTACACTACCCCCAGGATGCTTCCATATAAGTTTCAGTCTTTCTGGCACAGTGGTTCTTGAGAAGAAGGTTTTTAAAGATTTTTATTATATATTTCAATGTTAAATTTGGATTCCCTATTGTGGCCCCGCCCTACCCCCGGGGGTCATGATTTGAACAAATTAGAATCTACACTACCCCAGGATGCTTCCACATAAGTTTCAGCTTTCCTGGCCCAGTGATTCTTGAGAAGAAGATTTTTAAAGATTTTTACTACATATTTCAATGTTAAACTTGGATTCTCTATTGTGGCCCCGCCCTACCCCCAGGGGTCATGATTTGAACAATTTAGAATCTACACTACCCCAGGATGCTTCCACATAAGTTTCCGCTTTTCTGGCCCTGTGGTTCTTGAGAAGAAGATTTTTTAATAACCCCACCCAATTTTTGTATTTTCTTGATTATCTCCCCTTTGAAGGGGACTTGGCCCTTCATGTTAACAATTTAAACTCCTCTTCACCTAATAATGCTTAAGTTTGGTTGAAATTGGCCCAGTGGTTCTTGAGAAGAAGTTGAAAATGTGAAAAGTTTACAGACGGACGGACGGACGACGGACAATGGGTGATCAGAAAAGCTCACTTGAGCTTTCAGCTCAGGTGAGCTAAAAAAGCTCAAACTTCACCTTTTAATATTATCAAAAGAAATGTAACAACCATATTTTATTGATTCATGACCTTGATAACGTAAACAATTAATATGGCACTAAGGCGTACTTTCAAAGTAACTTAAAATAGGTTTTTGGATACGTTTTTCATAACAGAAGTTAACAATGAAGAGGTTTGATCACAAAGTTTATTTTATCTTTGCATTTTGCAGTAGCAAAGTATCATTGTAAAGATAACATTTTATCTTCTTCCCAAATATTTTATCATTGTGTAAATGCCTTCAATGATTTGACTTGCCGTTTTAGTACATTGACGTTACCGCTAGATAAGGGATGATGCCAGTACATATTTATAATGAAGTAAAAATGCAAAATACAGGGCAGAGATATGGTTTCCTACTGAGAAATCATTATTGTGTTTCACCAGCCTGAAAATTAGGATTCAGCTAACACAATAGTGTTAACACGCCGCAGTGTGTTATATCAGATGTACAGTGCATGATACGTGGTTAGTATGATTTCCAGATCCTTTAGAAAATTACAATACTTTACCTATCTCACAATTTTTTGTGTTTTTCTGATTTATCTTATGCTTGTCAATGTGAAAAACTTCAAACCTAAAATATGGATTCCTTTGGTTGGAAAAACTTCCTTGATTTTTAACAAAACAAATGAGAAGGTGAAAATGAAAACCACAACAGATCTTAAACAAGTTGTCAATTTGTTTGATAACGGACCCCAATTTGATTCATCCTATTCACCTTTATATGAGAGATTTTCATCGAGCACGAAACCATCTTATGATTATTTCAAAGGCGAAAGGAATGTACCCAACGTTAATTGTCGTCTTCTGTTTCAAAAGGACTTAAAGGAGATTCAAAGAGTTGACCAGTTAAATATCACTATATATAATAACAAACAATCCCTGTGTGAACAAATACAAAACTGTGAAATGTTTATAACTAACAGAAAATATATTGTGGACCCCTTGACTGAGGAGGAGAAACTTTTCTCAATAGCATATAGTATACTTGTATATCAGAACCCAGAGCAATTTGAAATTCTTTTAAGAGGTATTTATCGACCTCAAAACTTTTACTGTATTCATGTCGACAGTAAGGCCTCACAGAAATTATTCGACGAATTTGAATGTGCTATGAAATGCTTTCCAAATGTTTTTCTGGCTTCAAAGAGAACACAGGTGGAGTGGGGAAAGATGAGTGTGTTAACCCCAGAGCTGGTCTGTATGAAAGACCTACTTCAATTCTCTCGTTGGAAGTATTTCATAAATCTAACAGGACAAGAATTTCCGCTTCACACGAACTACGAGTTAGTAAAAATACTCAAAATACTTAATGGTTCAAATGATGCTGAGGGCACATTGAAAAGGTATATGATAATATAATACTAAAACTTGAAACATTCTACTATATCAAACAATGTGTTATACATCAAATCTCATATACATGACTGTTATAACTTTTAGTTTCGATTGTTAATAAGCTTGGAGTATTTTAACAATGTCTAGTACATATTAATGGTATTCTTAGAGTTATCAGTTCTTATTGTATGCAAATTATTTTTCTACCTTAATTTTTTTCATATCATATTAGGGCCAATGTAGAAAGATGGAATATAACAGAGGAACCACCCCACAATATCCACCCAGTAAAAGGGTCGATCCATGTAACTCTCAACAGAAAATTTGTGGAGTATGTTATCAGTAGTCCTGTTGCCAAGGCCTTCCTGAATTGGGTCAATAAAACAAATGTTCCAGATGAAACTTATTTTGCGTCATTGATTCACAACCCCCACCTTGGAATACCCGGGAGCTTTAAAGGCAAGAGTAGTACTAATCAAAGAGCTTTCTCCCTAAAATTTCATATAATTCATATTGATTGTTTTGTCTGTGCTTTTTCTTTTGATCAGAAAGAACCGTTTATCCGTTGTGTGAAATATACATTTTTTGTCTTGTATAGGGGACATTGAGACAGATTTTGCAGTAAAGAAACCCTTTTTGTCCCGCTTCAAAAACTGGGTAAATGCTCCTAATGCATTACCTTGCCTGGGTAAATATGTCAGATCGATCTGTATTTTTGGAATTGGCGATCTTCCTCTACTGGCTCGTCGTCCAGAGTTCTTTGCAAACAAGTTTCACATTGGCTACAAGCCTAATGTCGTCCACTGCATGGATCAACTGATATTTAACGTAGCTACGGACAGCGATCACGTGACATTACATGTGAATTCTAAATTAAGAATTTTTCGGTCCGCTTATTCTGGAAATGCGCCTATTTCAATATGGCGAACTGCAGTAGTAAACAATGTGCTCCGAGAAAAGTTCACGGGTATAGTTATAGGAAAGCTCAGCAGTAAAGGTAGATCAAGTTAATAAGAGTGAATGAGAGATATAACATGTCAACAAACAGGACAACAATTATAAATCTTTTTTATGAAATGGAATATTATACACATGTCGCAAACGACCTATATATCCCTATTCCAACGCAGACGACACGGCCCGGCTGATGTAGATCTTAAAATGACATCAAATGGTACGAAGGACGAAGAGTTGTTGAGCTGGAGAACTTGGCAGTCCAGTTTATATGCTTATAGCCACAAGATGAAGGCATTCATTTGCATTTTTACAACGTTGTTAACTCGGTACTTTATTGTATCAATACCTTGGGCCTAACTCAATGTGACTGATGGTCCTGTACTGTTTGTGGATTTACCAACACCTTTTCCACGGGAAAGGAATACGACAGAGAGGCCTATGATATCAGCTCAAAATTAGCTCTTGGTAAGTCAAATAAATATCAACATAATGTACATTCCATTTCAAACTTCTGTCATAATTGTAATTCAGCATGAATATAAAACTTCTCCTTAGTAAACTCATAGACTTGGTCAAGTCTCTATGTTTTTTTAATCAAATAATTCTTTGTTCATTTTTGTCTTGTTGTCCTCTGCTCTCCCTCATAGTTAAATGTTATCAAACATGTTTGACATTATCAAAAAGTATGAAAAAGAGCACTAAAACATAGAGACTTGAGCAAGTCTAGTAAACTCAGTGCATGTAAGGAACTGCCATTTGGTAACGGGATGTTTCGCACCTATGCATGGTTTGCCCCGCGATGTTTCGCTCCAATTCTGTTTCGCGCTGAGATGGTTCGCCCCGCGATGTTTCACTCCAAGTACATAAATGTGCTACTGAGTTTAGTTCATTTAACAAAATTTTAGATTTTAAATATATGTAAATATAGATATTTTTGGAACATTTTTTTTTTAAATTTAAGAAGCAGAGATGTAAATTATTTATGTCTGTATTTGAAGTATACATACATAGCATATAATTATAATACCACCATCTAATTAAGTAATTATTGCTGGCTTGGACAACCCACACATCAACATAAATTCTCACCTTTTGATCTCCAACTTAAATTATTACAAATAAATCCTCATTGAAACACTGTTGAATTGTTGAACAGACATGCTGAGCAAACGGGCACCGTACGATCCGTTAACTATAGCAGTGTATGTTATTAAGTCATGAATTTGAGCACACAAAATATTTATATCATATTTGATAAATAATTTAAAACGGATGAAAATATGATGAAATATTTGAAATAAAACGTGAGATGTTTCGCGCCCAAATCGGCGCGAATCATCCTGGCACGAACCATCTCAGTGCGAAACAGAATCGTCGCAAAACATCCCGGATTCTGCCATTTGATTTGGGGGGGGGGGGGGGTGGATTATGGGTGTTAGATTATTTATTAACATGCCAGTGAAGGCAGATTATTTATTTTTATTTCCAAGATGATTGGGGACAGATTTTTTTTTTCAACACTGGAAAAAGTTTGACGAAGTGGTACATATTGAAACTGTTTGCATGTTGTTTGCAGGTCTGATAAAATTCAATTCTTTATTTTACTACTGCTGCATAGTTAGAATATTGGTCAGGCAGCGTGGACATTTCTCTTGATAAGTCCAGTTTACTAAGATTTTCTGGTTAAAAACCGATTTTTCCAGTCAACCATAATTAAATTTTGTTTATGTCGGTATATATTTATTTGGTCTATTTTTTTTTCAGCCAACTTGATGGTACATTCTGGTATGGGACCATCCCATGTAGTAAATTTTCTCCTTTAACCTTTAACACTGCACCTATGGTGTCACCACATTGAAGAAAAAGAGATGTCAGCCTCTATTCTGCAACCAGGCTGGATAGCTAGAGACGAAGAATGCTAAACCGGACCAGTTGGAATGTAGTTTTGATGCTGGATAGCTGACCAAGGGGTCTTGCTTTTAGTATAATAGTGATACTGGTAAAAGTCATCATTTGAATTTTGTTATGCCAAATTTCATAAGCGCAGAAAATTGGCAATTTATGGAGTGTAAACTTCTGCAAGCTATACATGTACATATACATGTTCACTGAAATTCTAATCTATATGTAGGATAAAGACATTTTGGGGAATATATTTTGATGTGGACTCCAGATAATAATGTTAAATTTTGTATTTCAGATAATTTTAACAAGTAAGGTGTATAAGATATATGAATGTGAGGTCCAGACCATTCATGCTGATAATGATTCAACTACTGCAGCTCAACTAAAGAATGACTTTCCATCTCTTCCAAAAAAGCAGGACAAGAATCACTTGATGAAACTGAACTAACATATACTACTTTTCTTGTCAATTTCATATTATCTCTTGTTTGAGAGTTACATCTGAATTGGTAACAGACCATTCCACATACAGACTTTTATTCATTTTAGCTCACCTGAGCTGAAAGCTCAACTGAGCTTTTCTGATCACATTTTGTCTGTAGTCCGTCTGTCAGGTAGTTTGAAATTCCCCCCCCCCCCCCCCCCCATAATCTTTTCAATACTGAACTGATTTGTGCTTTTGCCTAGCCAATGTGCTTAGGTGAGCGATGTGGCCCATGGGCCTCTTGTTCATGTATAATCTACTCTGTGAATGTTATGGCTGGTGTGGTTATAGACTGCTCCACATGTAGACTTTTTTTTTTTATTTTTCATGTATAATGTGCTATCTGAGTGTTACATGTATGTCAGATGTGCTAATAGGCTGCTGCAGACTATTCTTTTTCAAAAAAATTATGCATAATCTACTGTGCAAGTGTTATGTTGGGTTTGGTAATAGGCCGCTCAACAATAGACTATTCTTTATTATGCATAATCTACTATATGAGTGAGTGTCATTATCGTTAATCAGCTGCTCCACATATTCATGTAGACTCTTCATTTTCATTTACATATAAAATGTCCTGTATGAAGTTTTAAGTCAAGTGCAGTAATGGGCTGTTCTTATGTTGTCATTTTGTTTTTAATTTCTATATATAATTTATGTATGTCACAGGTCAAGGTCCCTGTTACAATATATTTTCGTTAGAATAATGGTGTTATTATACCTGCTCGAATATGTTTGATTGAATGAAATTACTTTTGTTCAATTTGAAAGATTGCTGATCATATTTTTTCAATGATATTCTTTTTTTATTCTATGCAAAAGAATTATGTGTATTGTGCTATGTCAAGTGTATTTTTTTTTCTCAGTGTGCATGGCCAAGATGTTTTTTCCAACAAAGGTGCATATATTTGACATGTTAATACATGCACTTAGGGTGTTTTTGACAATGCAGTAAAAAAGAAAAAAAAAATTAAATGCATATTATATGGGTGTTTTAAGTTCATTATAATGGTCATATATGTTTGATTGGGAGAAGTGAAATACTTTTATTCAATCCCTACTTCTATTCAAGTGGAATCTAATTTAAAATTGACATAAAACAAGGTTTTTGTAGTACCAATTAAATATCTTATTGAGTCACATTCTTGTTTTGCATTTTTTGAACCACACCAAACTTGATTCTTATTTTCAATTCTGGAAAATGGGAGGGGTTTTGGGGGGGGGGGGTGTTGAACCATTTGGTACCTTTAGTTAATTAGCCCACAATGTGGCAAGATTTTTGAGTTGGGAATAGTATTGGACACATTTTTCACATAATAACATTATTTAAAAAGTCTATTTGAACAGATTTTTTTAGATTTTATATAAGAAAATATAGAATTTGTTTGTATGAAAGTAATGAAATTGTTAAGGTTGAAGAGTTTTTATATGTGTTTTCTTTTAAAATTACATTTCCATTCAAGTAATCTATTTTTGAAATATTAATTTATACTTTAATTTTGTTTAGGAATAATTTTAAAAATAAAGCACATATCTAATAATTATTTTTTTATGGATTATTTCAATATTGGATAAACTATGAATTTTATAGTGAGGGGAGAGGGGAGGTAACTCATCATGTCATTACTCTATGATTTCTCCTAATGTTATATAAATATTTTCATTAATCATTAGTAATTGTATTGTACTTCTGATTTATTTCTTCAATTGTATTTTTTTTTTCTAATTTACTTTGCAATTTTTTTTGATAGCACTTCAATCATTATTCTTATTTTCATGACGGGAAAACAAAGGGGGGGGGGGGGGTGTTAGTTGTGGACCATTTGGTACCTTTATCAGCCCTCAATGTGACCAAGATTTTTTGAGTGAAGAATGGTAGTGGACAAATCTTTCATATAATGATAAAAAATAAAAATTCTATTGGACAGAATTTTTTTTAGAATTTAAAAAGTGTCAAATTTGTTGAATTTAAAACGTTTTATAAGCACTATTCTCTTAATTTATCTCTGTTCAGACAATCCATTGTTAAAATAAGTTTATAGTATCAAAATTGTTTAAAAATAATTTTAAATAATGAATGCATATTGCATAATAAAATTTTTATGGGTAATATATATGTTGTATTATGATTTTTGGAGTGACTGGAAAGGGGAGGTAACTCATTACCCCCTGGTTCCGTAATTTACCCTCAATGCCATGTTCATATTTCCACTAAAGGTTCATTGCACATTCCTTTGCACCATGTGAAAATTTCAGCAAAATCTATTGGGAGGTTTTTTTGGGGTCAGGTGTCCTTAGCTACCTTAATAGGACAAGAGATGAATATTTACAAAGACTGAAATTTCGAGCAACATTTTATGAAAAGATAGAGTCTATTAAAAATATTGTGTAAAGTTCCGACATTGTTCAAGTTAAATTCATTCTCAAATGTACAAAGTGTTTCAAGACACTTATATTACATGAGAAATCGAGGTAGGATTTCTTGATACAAGGTATTTATAAAATAAATAAACTGATAAAAATAATCCAAGTATCTTACATACTAAACTACTTTGGTAGATATAGTCCATTAAATTTATTATGAAGCAGCAAATTTTGGGGGAATGTAACGATAATGATTGACTACGGTATTATATCGTTTTTAGTGGTATTGACGTGGCGATTACACATAGGGTAGGATGAAAAGTCATTCTTTAAGTGACGTTGTTACGCACCAAAGTTACCGTCGTGATGGAATGGAAAACATTTTAGTTCCTATCTGACGGTGGATAAAATGTTCTATGTTGAAAAAAGTCATACCAAACTCCAAAACAACATACATGTGCCTTTTTCTTCACATAAGCAAAACAATTATTAAACGTAGCGGAATTTCCAGTCCTACCATGATTGCAAGAAGTTTATATTGACTGTTAATATCGGAAAAAAGATGTGCGTACCACCAGTGCATCAACGGGTACTACACAATGTGTTTAGAAACCTGTCATCATCAGTATGCAAATATTTTTGGCTTTTTAACACTTTTAATACCCGACATAATACTTTCATGGTGGAATGGTTTTGAATACCGATTTTAGTGCTCAGCAACCAAGTTACGTTTACCTCTGACCAGTATCATAACTTCCGGCTAGGCAGTCGAAAATGTTTCCTGTTATATGTTACCTTGCGTTTTCTGTCCCCCGCTTTCACTGAATTTGGGGGATATTAATTTGGGTCTGTCTGTCCGTCCGTCCGTCTAGCTGTATTTCATATATAGCTGTATAGCTTCTCCAATGAAATTTTGAATAGCAACTCCCTATGGCCCACGAAGAATCCTACTGATTTTGAGGTCAAAAGGTCAAAGATCAAGGTCATAAATTCTGTCTGTTGTAATACTTTCGTTTCCGCGCGATATTTCGAGAATCCTTTGAGCTTTAGCAATGAAATTTTACATAGCAAAGTCCTGTGACCTATATAAGGAAGACCCCTATTGATTTTGAGGTCAAAAGACCCCTATTGATTTTGAGGTCAAAAGGTCAAAGTTCAAGGTCGTAAATTCATACATTCCATCTGTGTGTAATACTTTTGTTTCCGGACGATATTTCAAGAAGCTTTTGAGCTTTTGCAATGAAATTTTATACCATAACTCCCTATGGCCTCTCTCGCCCCCCTCAAAGTGTCCCGCCCCGTTTTTTTTTTATCTATTGTATTAAAAGTCGCTTGGCACTATTTTTAGCACAGGGGCATGTGGAGAGTTGTTACGTATAATACAGGTTGTCGGCGGACCTTATAATCTAATTACATTTATTAAAACTGTTTAGTAAAGGCTAAATTAGACACCATGTATTTTGTAAAATTTTGACAATATCAAACGTGAATATAAACATTATATGTGACTTAATGTTTATTTAATTCGCTGTATAATCAAGTGCCTCCGTGGTCTTGGGGGATGACTCTCGTTTAGCACGTGAGAGGTCCGGGGTTCATATCCCAGACGATCCTTTATTTTGGAAATTTTTATTTTTGGATTTAGTAAATGATAGTATTCAGCATGTGAAATAAAAAAGGTTATGACGTCTGGCTTGTACAAACTCATAAAATCATTATTACTTTGTGATAAATTTTCTATATAAAAAAATCTTCTATACACATATTAAAGAATAAGCAATCAAGTCTTTATATCCATATTGGCATTTCTTATTTGTTTCAATATACACGTATACATTTAATAATTCTACAAATCCAGGGAAAGGAGGGGGTGGAAGTCCGAACCCCCCCCCCCAACTTGGCATGCTCTTCTTTTTTCCCTAAGCGGGGGACACAAATTCTCTGAATTAGCTTGTTGAAATTAAAGTAAAGGTTCAATCTGTTGAAATTCAAATGGGCACCAATTGTGTTTTTTAGCCAACCTGTATAAAGTAGAGTTTATTCCAAAACTTTTACAGAGGTAAAAAACTCCATGCTGATTCAATAAGCAAGAGGGTGTTCGGAACATGATCACGTTTAATCCAACGCAGGATATTTACAAATAAGTGGACGTGCAAGGCTTTTAACAAGTTTGTTTAACTATTCTATCGTGGATATAATGATCTTTTTTTTTTTTAGAAACAACATACCCTGGGGTTTATTTCGTTTTAACACTGATTTTACTATTGGATTGTTCTGATCATGTAATCAATACAGAGGGCTCACGGCGAATGTGAATGATCAATGGGCAATTTTTACTCCTCTAAGGCACCGGATCTCAAATCTTTGTTGCTAGGGGTAAGTGTTTATGAAGTGTTCAAATTTCATATTCTTCACTGGATTCACAAGGCTTATAAATAATCATTATCTTCACGTTTTACATTGTATTAATCATATGTAATAATATAATAACGATTTATAGGAAGACCGAAATGATCTGTCGGCGCACAAAACAAAATCCGGAATGATTTACGTATGCAACTATTCCAATTGCATTTGTTTCTCTGGTTATATGTAGAACATAAAGCTCAGATTTATATCATTGAAGCCAGAAATAAATTCTTAGTAATATGTAAAATTTTCACATAAATGACTTCAGAGACAGAGGATTGGTATCGTAATTTTCAAAGTGTTGTTGGAATTGAGTTTGCTGAAAATGACGTCGTCAAACGAGTTAGCAGCGCACGAGATTGTAATAAAATTATTTCAAATGTGGTTTGTCAACTTCAGAGACGGAAAAAAGATACAGAAGTGACATTACACACTAGAACATCAGTTAGAGGTTGTTCATAAATGACATAAGAGATTCAAGAACAGTTCTAATTTCCATGTGCATACCGAAAATAGTCAGGACTATAAGAAGTAGACTACAGTTTGGTAAATTCAGACAGTGAAGAACGTTAAAGGGTCACGATCGACGTCAGACTTTGTGTATTCTCTACTTCCTACAATGTAAGGCGACCTTTCGAGGACTGAAATATGAATCTGATAAAGAGAAAAAAACAAACTATGGACAGTTGTTAATTTTAATGAGTTCCTCAGTCAAGAGTGTCAATTGAAAAAAAAAAAAATCAATGAGATACTTAAGAGACCTGTGTTAAGCACACAGGGCAGTACTAAAAATGTTCATGACGTTAGAAGATGTAAATTAGTCTTGCTTTCGTACGCCCATGTACACTTACATGCTTTCTTCATTTCTATATTATGTTCTTATTATATGTGTTATTATCATGAAACTTGTAACTCATAATCAAAAAATGTTACTTTTTACTATGACAAGAAAGGAAATTTAATTTAGCAAAGAGAAAATAAACTGTTTTCCCTGTCTACGCATTTTTGGGACAACCATCGTATGAAGGATTTCAAACTGATACCTCCGCTAACTGTGTACGTTATAAATCAAACATTGTGAATTTTTCTATAAAACAACATGCAGAATACTGCAGTGCAATCAGTAGTGACTGGCTTAAATATTTATCACTAAAGACATTTTTTTATTATATATTATAGAGATATGTTTTTTAATTATTGCATACATAACAGGTATACTCGTGTTGCGATCTGATCACAAATTATGTTTTACATAAACTCTTTAGATGCTTAATGCATATCAATTATTACGAAAGCCCAATAGTGCAAATCAAAAATAAATAAAAATAAAAAACGAAATTATTAAAGAAAGAAAACTAAATTATTAAATAAAGAAAACGAAATCATTAAATAAAGAAAGCGAAATTATTAAATAAAAATCAAACGAAATTATTAAATAAAGAAAACGAAATTATTAGATAAAAAACTGAAACAAAAATACGGAATTTATAGATGTGCATGCTAAGGGCCTGAACCCATGAGTAATTCCATAAAGCAATCGTGTTCTATGACCTGATTTGTTCGACATTGAAACAAGTGTGAAATTTTCATTTACACTCAGCTATTCCCGTATCGATAACATAACCAGTTGGAGTAGACAATCTCAATACATGAATAGGGGTGAATTTTACCTTTGGTATCCAATATGCTTAGATCTATGTTTTTATTTTACATTAACATGATTAATGTGAATTTTGACCAGTCTGATGAATTGGCCAAGTTTACGTTAACGTTAGCTTTCTTAAACCCTCAGCTCAGAAGGTCTAATTATCAGCATACAATGAATCTGGACATAAAACATCAAGGAGATCATGCTAATAAATTGCACAAATATTTAAGAGTCATTCTCTGTAAAAACCAAAGAATCCAAGGGGGCCGTTAAAACGAATGTCACCGAAATACGTAATTTTTTGTTTATAGAGTGTACTCAGGTGTCTAACTGAGAAAACCACCTTAGTTTATGTTTCGGGGTGTCCGTTGCCATGGCAACCGGAACTAATGGAAATATGGTCATTTTGACAGGTTCTATTTCGTGAAATATATCATTTTTAACCCCCATATTTTCTTTAAACACGAAAAATATGAACACTTTCAATTATATAATTTATTTTAAGAATTCCTATATAATTAAAATAATTAGGATTGAAATCTTTAGTCTGAAGTGTTTCAAGCTGATAGGAGGCTAAAAATATCAAATTTTGTGCTTTTTTCAAAATGCAGAAAAACCCATTTTACCCTCTATTTCAATTATATTTATCTTTAAATTCCAAGATAGGTTTTTAAAACTTCTTGTTTATTCAGAATATCTATACTATGGTTTGTCATTTCATTTAGATTTCCAACATGTGTATTTTAGTTAACTCAAAAAATATCAAAATGAAAATGTCCCCTAATCCCGAATTTCCTCAAATACAGATTGGGAAAACTCTGTTATACATTGAAGATGATATATTTTGTAGAGTTTGTTTTTCTCTTTTGAGGACATTTTTATGTAAAACAATCTTCAGATAGAATTTAATGATAGAAATGAATAAAAATGTATCATTTTAGGAGAGGATGGCAACATAGAAGGGGTTACCATGGCAACCATTCATTGAAATATATTTTTCATTTCACGTTTTTTATCGGTACAAAGTCACATTCGTGGCTGAATTTTAACAACACTGAAGGTTATATCAATCATGCTACTTATCCATTTTAAAAATGAAATGTAGGTAGTGAGGATATAAAAGTGAAACACAGATATTTCAATTTGACCCCCCCCCCTTTTTATTAGAAAAAGACGAAGGGGGGGGGGGGGGGTAATACCATGTGTTCAATGACTCAAATTCTATCTTCTTCAGGTATCAACAAATGTATTTGTTACAAATTTAGCTTAAAAACAAAAAGAGTCGATGAACAGTTAACTTATTGATTCTATCAAAACGTAAAGCTAAGGTCAAGATTCAAAGTAAACTGAAGAATAGTATGCTTATTCATATTTTCAGGAATTGAAGGATGACATTTAGTCAGGATTTCAGATTACAGATACGGAATGCTCTGAAGTACAAAATGTTTAATCAAAAATGGTCAAAATGGACAAAATAACCAAGTGATAACTCAAAATCAATTTTAAAATTAGATGATATTTATTTTTTGAAGAAAATATGAAAGATGTGGTGAGCAGAGGAAATTCGAGCTAATTTTTTTTTTTTTTACTTTTTTTGCATCAATACTTTTATTTCTTGGAATATGTCATTCATAAAGTAAATTTTCTATGTGTTTTAAAACACCATTTTGCAATTATTATGAATATTAAAGCTCTCGTTTTTTTTTTCAAATACAAGAGGCCCATGGGCCACAACGCTCACCTGAGTAACTTTGGCCTTGCTGTTTTTCACCCGATTTCCCCCTTGTAATACCTATTGTGGCCCCGCCCTACCCCAGGGGTCATGATTTGAACAATTTAGAATCTACACTACCCCAGGATGCTTCCACATAAGTTTCAGCTTTTCTGGCCCAGTGGTTCTTGAGAAGAAGATTTTTCAAGATATTTTCTACATATTTCAATGTAAAACTTGGATTCCCTATTGTGGCCCCGCCCTACCCCTGGGGGTCATGGTTTTTACAATTTAGAATCTACACTACCCCAGGATGCTTCCACATAAGTTTCAGCTTTTCTGGCCCAGTGGTTCTTGAGAACAAGATTTTTAAAGATTTTTTCTACATATTTCAATGTAAAACTTGGATTCCCTATTGTGGCCCCGCCCTACCCCAGGGGTCATGATTTGAACATTTAGAATCTACACTACCCAAGGATGCTTCCACATAAGTTTCAGCTTTTCTGGCCCAGTGGTTCTTGAGAAGAAGATTTTTAAAGATATTTTCTACATATTTCAATGTAAAACTTGGATTCCCTATTGTGGCCCCACCCTACCCCTGGGGGTCATGGTTTTTACAATTTAGAATCTACACTACCCCAGGATGCTTCCACATAAGTTTTAGCTTTTCTGGCCCAGTGGTTCTTGAGAAGAAGATTTTTCAAGATATTTTCTACATATTTCAATGTAAAACTTGGATTCCCTATTGTGGCCCCGCCCTACCCCCGGGGGTCATGATTTGAACAATTTAGAATCTACACTACCCCAGGATGCTTCCACATAAGTTTCAGCTTTTCTGGCCCAGTGGTTCTTGAGAAGAAGATTTTTAAAGATTTTTTTCTACATTTTTCAATGTAAAACTTGGATTCCCTATTGTGGCCCCGCCCTATCCCCGGGGGTCATGATTTTTACAATTTAGAATCTACACTACCCCAGGATGCTTTCACATAAGTTTCAGCTTTTCTGGCCCAGTGGTTCTTGAGAAGAAGATTTTTAAAGATTTTTTCTACATTTTTCAATGTAAAACTTGGATTCCCTATTGTGGCCCCGCCCTACTCCCGGGGGTCATGATTTTAACAATTTAGAATCTACACTACCCCAGGATGCTTTCACATAAGTTTCAGCTTTTCTGGCCCAGTGGTTCTTGAGAAGAAGATTTTTTAATGACCCCACCCTATTTTTGTCTTTTCTTGATTATCTCCCCTTGGAAGGGGGCTTGGCCCTTTATTTTAACAATTTAAACTCCCCTTCACCCAAAGATGCTTTGTACCAAGTTTGGTTAAAATTGGCCCAGTGGTTCTTGAGAAGAAGTTGAAAATGTGAAAAGTTTACAGACGGACGGACGGACAGACAGACAGACGGACGGACGGACGGACGGACGGACGACGGACAACGGGTGATCAGAAAAGCTCACTTGAGCTTTCAGCTCAGGTGAGCTAATTAGTAATTGAATGACATGCAATGAAGAATTTTAAAAATATACATGAACACAAACCATTCACAGTCAACATGTCTCAATAATTTGATTATTGAGCTCATATAATTTTAATACCAGTAGAATGTGGACAAGAAAAGTAAAATGAGGCTATAAATAATAAGAGTTCTTATCATTCAGGTTTTCAAATTGATTACAGGCCTGTAGGAAGCAATTTCAGTGGTTGGGGGGGGGGGGGCACAGCCATACATTCTCAGTGAAAATTACCCAAAAATTCTTCAAAGCAAAAAAAAAGGTCAAATGGTCATTTACTGAGGGGACAAAAGCATACAGTAGCTATGTTTTTGGAGTATTCTATATATCGGCAAAATTAATGGGGCGGGGGGGGGGGGGGGCAAATATTGGTCATAGTGTGATTAATTGAGATATTTTCTGTGAAATACTCAGGAGCCACTAGCAGGAAAAGTAGATCACTGATATACTTAAATGAAGATGAATTATTACACAATAATCATAGGTGTACAATACTTAATTTGTGGTTTTTCACTCTTATCATAGACCTAAAGCTGTAGGTCTATGCTCGTATCAGTGAATTTTTTTGTCATCCAAGTAAACGTTATCCTTTAGCCGTAAAAATAATAATAGTCAGTTTTGACATAGATTTCTTTAATTTTTCTGTCATTGCAACTTATAATGTGTGACAAAGGATGAAATTGTACATTCAATGAGATTACTTTTATTAGTTTTATACACTTATTACATGCATATTTTATTTAAGAATGTACATTATTATAAGCTTTTAAAAAATGATTTGAAGCATATTGGAAGTAGTGCAGAGTGGAGTCATGTTTCTGAAGTTTGATATGCATGGCCATGGATCACTTTAGGATAAGTGGTCAAAACTTCCCTCAGGTATAATACTGGGCAAGACTTGAATTTTCTTCACATACTGTAAGACTCTTCACTATTTCTTTGATGTTCTTTGGGAAAATAACAGCAGTCAATTTGGTCGTTATATTGTTGTACATGTAGTATGGTTTAGCTGACTTAGTGTAGGAGTCCCACTGGTATTCCCCATCTTCTGAAAACTCTCTCCAATTTTCTTGAGATACTCATTCATTTGCTGAATGTCATGACTAAATGTAAAACTCTGGCTTTGGTTCTGTAATAAACAATATAAGTATTTAGATTTAGATAATACAAGACTTTAGATTTATATTAAACAATGACTAATGGAACCAAATGGAACATGAAAACTATTACATGTACAATAACAGAGCATACATACATTCTCTCTACACAAGTGCAAAATGTTTTTTTTTTTTTGGATTTTGAGAAAATTATATTGAATAAAGGTGTAAATAATAAGTTTATCTATTTAATTTTCAATATATGGTACATGGCATTACCCTGAGGAAAAATGTTCAAACACAATACAGTATCAGTGAACAGAAATCATTGCTATTTACTTCTAAGGAGAAGATACATGTAAATAACATCTTCAATTAATTTATCTTGTTCTTTTAAAATGTCAAGAATACTTGACTTGATTATAAATTGAGTAATATACTGTAAATTTCTATTTATTGAAATTTAAATCTAAGGGCAGATCACTCCTAACATTCTCTCACTAAACAGTAATTATGTTTTGATAAAAGTTATGAAAAGTGGGTCAAAATTTTAGATAACTTTATGCGGTATCTTTCTTCTATCCTTCAAATGTTATTACCAATGTTTAATTTCTTGAAAGACATAGAAGTCAAGGCCATGGGGTCAAAATTATAGTTCATGGACATTAGAGAGACCTTTCATAGTGAATGTATCTGTGAAATATAAAAGCTGTATCTTCACTCAATCAAAAGTTTTGTTTCTGTGACAGACTGACAGACAAATGAGATTATGTGAAAGTGGTGGACAAGAAAGAAGTCCTATATGTGCTGGGGGGTTTTTCAGGCCAAGTGGGTCTTAGGATCCCTCCAAATTTTTACGAATTCTTGTATTATATCTCCCCTTGATCTTATTTGAGCCTTTGGCTCAGGTTTGGCTAAGGTGAGCTAAAAAATATATGTACTCTACTTTACTAACCTGAGAAAGGCATTTCATGCTAGTTTCAACACTATTACAGGAACTCCGAGTCTTGCTAATTTTAACACCTTCGTAGGAAGGATATCTTCAATAATCTGAAATTCAATCTGAATCATTACAAATACATGTATGTAGCTCATTTGCATTTTCACAGGTAAGTAAAAAATTGATATTTTGTAAAATTGATAGTAGTGTGAAATTGTAAATGTTGAGGTAATATTTTAGGGATAAATATTTTACGTCATGATATAAATGTAAAATTTATTTCAATAACTCCATTTCCTTAACTGTGTGAAGAAATCTTTTTATAGTAACAGGTACTTTCCATTAAAACATGATTTAGTAGGCAAATTATTGGGAAAAGACGCTATACACTGTACCTCTTTATAATTTTGTTTTAAAACTTACCTCCTTGTTTGATGTTTTCGAAACACTCCATGAATGATCTAAATATCTTCCTCTTGAAGGCTCTTCCTTCTTCCACACATGGTGCATGCAGCAGCATGCTACAATAAATTATATATTTTTATTAGAACAATTCAATTCCTTACTGGCATTAAAGCACAATTAAAGTGCCGCGCCACAGCATGATACGCCCATCAAAAAATTACAATTTTCTTGAACAGTTTAGAGCGCAAGAAAATCATGTCAACCTTGATTCTAAGATTTCCATGATTTTTCCATTCCTTAAAGTATTTATCCATCCCCTGTGATGTAGGCATTAATTATAATAAATATTACATCATTGATAGATTTCTATGCTGGTTGTGTTAGACCTTGTCAAATGCCCATCATATTAAACAATATCAAATTAGTCTTAACACCTTAATCTATACCAAATTAATTTTGAAAATAAAAGGCAGGCCATCAAATCAAATATGCTATAAACTGACCAGCAGTTCTTCTGTCTAATCCCCAAAGGATACAGATAAGACTGCTTGATCAGAGATGCTCTAAAGAAATGATTGAGACAGCTAGCCTTCCTACATTGAACTCATTAATTAATCTAAAAGTAACTGGATGCTTGTCTACTCATTACTACCAAGAGATGAATGGGTCTGCACTATCTACCACAAAATTTTTTTAAAACATATAATTTATAAAATACTCAAAGATTTTTTTTTGTTGAGATTTAATGTCCGACAGGTTTTAATATGTAATTCATATGGACATGCTGATTCCACCCCACCCCATAAAATTAGTTTTTAAATTAATAATATTATATCAGATTAGTCTATTATGCAATATCAAATTAGTTTTAATTACTTTTCATCAAATTCATTTTAAAACTTAGGCTAGCCAACAAGAGCTATTTTTAATCCAACAGGCTTTAACCCATTTGCCCAATACCCAAGGGATACAGATAACACCTGCTTGATCAGAGATGCTCTACCAGTTAGCTCCTCACACTAAACTCATTAATTTCTCTCTAATTTGACATGCAATTTTCTGTTATCAAAAATCTTCTTGACCAGTGCTTGATAATTACACTCATGGAAGAGGTTGGATTTTTCTAACATACATTATATTTGTTATAGATTGCTGTCAAGTGTATGCTTAAAAAAATAAGTATTTTCTTGATTTAACACTTTTTTAATAAGGACAGTGCAATACTCTTACATTATTTGGGATGTGTAAATGAATAGTAAAAAGACACATTTTTTTTTAAAATTTCACTTAAATTAAAGGTCACAGTGACCTTGAAATAGGTCGCGACACACCTTATACCTAAGATGCATAAACTGTCCAAGTTTGATGATTGTAAGTCTTGTAGTTTTCTAGTTATGGGCCGGAAAGGATTTTTCCATATCTGACTATTACTTTTTATGTGCAACACACCTTCTACCCAAGATGCATTAGATGACAAAGTTTGATAATCCTAGGCCTAATAGTATTAAAGTTATGAGCCGGAAACAAAACAGCTAACAGATGGACAGACGGACGGACATGAAGCCTATAACAATATGTCCTGTCTTAAGACGGGCGTATAATAATTATATAGGAATGTGTTGTTAGCCATTCAACCACACATTTGACATATTTTTTTTATTTAGTTTTGTATGTTGACAGGTCTAAATAAACAATAATTGGAGAAACTCTTAAAGGATACATTTGATTACCATGATCATCTACTCTACGAATAAATATAACATCGTATATAAGAACATTTAGTTACTTACGTATAAATGGTAGCGTTGCACCAGCTTGACCAATAAAATGAAGGATTTCACACTTCTTCAAACCCCTGCTTTCACATTTCACGTGTTCTACTTGGAAGGGAATTCTTAGTACATCTTCTCTTGGGTTTTCAATAAGTAAGTTGGAGCTAAGAAGACTTGGAATTTGACATAGCTTCCTTCTTGACTTCTTTGTATTTAATTTCAAAGAAAAGTCAATATAACTCGTGCACATTCGATAGTCATTCACTGTATTCAGCAAGTGCAACACATGGCATATGACCTACGTAAGACAAACTGATATGAAACTGGTCAATGTTGAAATTCACGAAGTGTTGAATGTCTTCAGAACAAGCATTATCACATCTTCTAAGGAAGCTGAACTATATAATCTAGGCACTTTTGTATAAAAATATCAATAAAACACATGGTTTGTAAAAAGGAACTCCAGACGTCATGCTTACAAACTTCCGCCAGAGTTCGTTTGCTCTTTGTAGATGAGGCCTCGACGGGGAGTATGGTCATGCTTACAAATATAGTGTTGTTTTTACCTCCTTTCACTGTTGGAACTAGAGAGTTTTACAAAGGGAGATAATATTAAGTGAAATGCCAGTTTTTTTCTCATTTTTCAAATGCATTTTATTTTTTTAAATAAAAAAACACACACCCAAAATAATTATAAATAAATAATCAAGTATGTTTGCTTTCAAAATATTGTAAATATTTTATAAACCTATCTTGGGATTTTTCATAAAATGGCACTGAAATTTTGGTTATTTAGCCTATTGGTTAAGGGTTAAAAAGATGAGGAAATTTAAATTTCTTTAAAATAAAAAAGGGTGTTAATGATAAATCAAAATAATTTTTTATCTTTACTTCACACCTTGTTTTCACAATTAAATGCACTTAATCCAACCATAGTGCATTATTTATTTTGAATATTTGATGATAAATTACTAGAAAACTGGTCATTTCAAACATGGGGGTAGCCACAAAATGTGTTAGAGGCCATAACCTGGAGGATAGGTCTCATCCCAAATTTTTTAATATACATAATTAATCTCATACACATTCATAATTTTTTCATATATGTTTTATTAAAACCCGTGATATTCGTTTGAACGGCATCCGAGGTCCTTACAGAGAATGACTCTTAAGATATACATATGTCTGTTAAGATTCCGTTGTTTACAACTTCTGAACTTTATAACATTTAGAAAATTCCCATGGCTATATATACATCTGTAAAATGATACGTTACCGATCGGATTTTGTGGGTTTGTTTGACATTATAAAAAATGTTTAAAGAGAGCAAGTGCAAAAATTAAAGAAGTCAAATTGGTTACAATGAGTAGATTTTAATGATTGCTTACTTTATTAAAAATTAAGCAAAACACTTCTAATTTCTTGGTCATTTTATCAAAGCATAGTTAGAAGTGATGCACTAACTATTTGTTCTCACATATTCTAAATGACAAATTCTCAATCAGTCTGTATTTATAAGTCATTGATAGTTGTGAACAAACAATGCACACTTGCATAACAAATCCCACAAAGTATTCAGATCATTCTCTTAATATTGTTTTGACAACCTAACATTTATGGGTACACAGACAGGGCGCTATGTTTAGTTCGGGGGAATTCAGCAATACGACACGCAAAGTCTTGACCTTTCAGCGATTCAAGAGCTCTTTTGGAATGTCAATAATTTTATGTAAGCAGAAACAGCCATCATCGCTACGTCCAGGCTTACAGGCTTAAACTTTGACGTTGTGGGGATGCGACACAGCATCAAATTCAGCATAAGCATAAACAAAATTGAACAGTTATGAATCATTTACGTCAAAAATGCGAATTATAGGCCGTGGGCACATAAGGTTTTTCTACGTTTGTCAATTAGACATTTATCTAAGTTTTTTTATTTTTCATTTCCCCCACACTTGTTTTAATGTCGAAACAAAATTAGGTCTATAGAATTACTAAGTGATGCTTTATAACACGTGCGCTTTAGGGAATGATTCATGGGTTCTGGCCCTTACCATGTACATCTATCAATTACGTATTTTAGTTTCAGTTTTATTATTTAATAATTTCGTTTCTTATTTAATAATTTCGTTTTCTTTATTTAATAATTTCGTTTGTTTTTTATTTAATAATTTCGTTTTTTATTCAATAATTTCGTTTTCTTTATTTAATAATCTAATAATTTCGTTTCTTATTTAATAATTTCGTTTTTTTATTTAACAATTTCGTTTTCTTTATTTAATTACTACGTTTTTTTGGTTTGCATTATTGGGCTTCCGTAAATTATGCCATATTCAGCAAATTCCAAGCAAATCAGGTACATCATTAAATCATACCCAAACAGACTGATGTGCGCAAATCAACGAAAACTAATTTGATTGTACTGCTATTCCTCATTGCACGTGTCTTGTATTCCTATAGGGAAGTGTATATCTTCCTAGCGCCCCCTGAAAGTGAATACACAACCAAACGACACGAGTATTTTTAAAAAGAAAAAAAAGAAGCTAAAATTAAAGCTGCTAATTATTGATTTGTTTGGTAGAAAAATATACATTGGATCCGACTACGTTGTACCGGGTTTGCACTGATATCTGCTCTAACATGTAGCTGAGGAAGAAGTACACAATTCTCCGTGTAACTTCAGATGTACATGTATATGGTAAGTAATTAACATAATTATTTCCCGATGTCTTAAAAAGCAAACAGAAGACAAAATAATGCCCCCCCGTTGATCAAACTATGTAATAGTTTTTATTAAAATCGACACAGTAATTTTTTAAGTAGTATTGTTAAATTCTAAAGAAATAATTGTGTTTGTATTCATGAAAAAAGATGTAGTTTACTCTATAAAATTAATATGTTTACTAAAGATTGTATATGTGTATAAAAAAAGCTTTAGAAGTGAAAGCTTTTAAAAAAAATGCTTGACAAAAGCAATCAATACCCAAAGTAATTTTTAGTGGATACTGCTTTGCTTAAATCTGTGTCATAATTAATAGAAAAGGAAAAATAAGTTGCCGATCTTTTTAAAAGACTATTTAAAAGAGTAAATACACTTTTAAAGATGCAAGTAAATGAACATGAATGAAATCAAATTCCTAACAGTCGATGTGAGAAACTTGTGTTTATGCGAAACGCGCTTTGAACAAATTGTCTGTTGGTGCAAAATGTTCCATTATACAAGTAATACATATGAAGATTTTTTTTTAGATAATTAAAAGCTATCTTCCATTGAAACGAAATGTTTCCTTGTTTATACATATGAATATTCCTTTTATATATTGAACGATTAAACCATCACTCTGGTATATAAAACAGAATCAATGTTTTCATATTATTATCTATTTCTTATGATCAAAGATGAAGAGAGGTACACGATATCCATTTTGCGGAATTCTTATTGCAATTATGTATATATTAACTGTTATATCAAGGAATTTTCGAGATCCTTTTATGAATATAAAATTCTGGAAAAACATCAACTCGTATGTTGAAAACATTAAGGTTTCTAGTCATAAGGCCTATAATAGAGATATATGTAAAGGAAGTAGAAGATAAGACGAAAGAAAAAACTCTATGGAACCTTTTTGATGTTAGTCCACAATTCAGTGTATCTTACTCTCCCTCTTATTCTAAATGTAGAGCTTGTGTCAGCTGTTGCAGAGTATGGGGATGCGGTTGTGTTTGGGAGATATGAAAATCCATTTTGTCCAATGCATGCTTAATGGGTTATAAATATGGCGATATAGATAGCCAAGGCAGAACAGGACGATCTGGTCTTGTACTGATTCGCTTGTCGAACGAGTTGTATGAAGCTGTGCATTGTCAGTAATGAATACGGCGCCAGGATGCTGCATTATTAGAAAGGCATGTGCAGGTAGGACAACTTCAAAGTATCGTTGTCCTTTGAAACTTGCTTGTATGCAATATCGTTGTCAACATCATTTAACTACTGTATCACCACCTGATTTATCAAAATTTTCGCGGCATAATTCACATGGACTGTTTCAGTGAAACATTTTAGATTTAACTTTAACAGATTAAGTGTATAAGTCATCCAAAACATATCAAAAAAGTGTTATTCATGAGAGATTGGTATCATATATAAATTGTCAAACTTTAAAGCAAGTATATTTGAAAGTATGAGTATAAGAATATTATTTTACGTTCTAACGCAAAAATATGAGGCGGTTATACGTTTTCGTACTAAAGATATAATTATTTTGCATGTTGACATAAATAAGTCGCATGTCAACATAATTATGTTGCATGTTAACATAATTTATTTTGCATGTATGGGGCAGAAATATGCCACAATAGATTCTGTCAAGGGGTCCAGCCTAAATTCCTTTGCAACAGAGAAAATGGCGGAGTCGAAGCGGAGACTGGAAAGAAGGTTAGTAGACATCACTGAATTTTTTTTATGATTCGCGCATTAAAATCGGAATTAAAATACGTCGCTTCGATGAAATATTTATTTGTCTGTTTTGGAGGATACTTTTGGAGATGCAAGTTACATACCAAAAATCTATTGAAATAAAACATGCATTAAAATCGGAAATAAAATACGTCGCTTCGATGAAATATTTATTTGTCTGTTTTGGAGGATACTTTTGGAGATGCAAGTTACATACCAAAAATCTATTGAAATAAAACATGCCTTCCAGACACGGATTGAATACATGTGTCATCATTGCATATGAGGGTAAATAGGGGACCCCCATGTCATGTTCTATATATTTCATTGTAAATCAATCCTGGCCGGTCAGGATGGTAATCATGACCATGTCAAGATTTCAAACATGACCAAGTCATGATTTTCATCATCTTAACCAAGTCAGAATTGATAACATGACAAACCTATCTTGGCCAAGTCAAGATTTATAACATGGCCATGCTATCTTGGCCAAGTCAGGATTGATAACATGACCAACCTATCTTGGCCAAGTCAAGATTTATAACATGACCATGCTATCTTGGCCAAGTCAGGATTGATAACATGGCCATCCTATCTTGGCCGCGGTCATCATATAACATGTATGGAAAGCCACAGGGGACCCCCAAGTCATGTTCTATATATTCATAGTAATTCAATCTTGGGCGGTCATGTTTACAATCCCGGCCAAGTCATGATCGGCCACACGGGACTCCCAAGTCATGTTCTATATATTCATAGTAATTCAATCTTGGGCGGTCATGTTCTATATATTCATAGTAATTCAATCTTGGGCGGTCATGTTCTATATATTCATAGTAATTCAATCTTGGGCGGTCATGTTCTATATATTCATAGTAATTCAATCTTGGGCGGTCATGTTCTATATATTCCTAGTAATTCAATCGGTCATGTTATGATTGCAACTCTGACCAAGTCAGGTTTGGTTTGATAGCATAACATGGCCTTCTTATCTTTGCCGGTCATGATTTGACAACCCTGGCTTAGTCAAGATATATCCCATGTTTTACATCTTGACTAGGCCATGATTTTCTATCCCAAATTGCATTGGCCAAGATACATTACTTCCAAACGCAGTCAAGATTTACTTCCCAAGATTTTATAGGACCGAGATTCGGCCAAGATAGCATTGCGCCAAGATACATTACTTCCAAACGCAGTCAAGATTCACTTCCCAAGATTTCAAAAAACAAAGACTAATTTCCCAAGATTTCAAAAGATCAAGAATCGGCCAAGAATTTTTAGGATGCAGAAGCGCGGCAATAATCATATGCTTGCTTGGCCACGGGTCGAGACCCACATACAGGTAGGGATTTATTTTTTTGTTGTTGTATGTCACGAATATATAGCTATTATTTGAAAAATATGGATAAAAATATATCTGTTTAATCAAAGAAAGACCGTATGCATTTCATGTTTTCCTCTTTTTGCCGCTTTCTTTGACATTAGAAACAGAAACAAATTAATTCTCACAAGATTAATATTTACAGTTTAGATAATGCAGAAACATGCATTTATTAAACATTTCACTTCATATTTTATGACATATTAGTATTGTGTATTTAAGTTTAGTATTTAACATGAAAGTATAATAATGATTATTTGTGTAATTCTTCGATATAGAGTTACTCATTTGAAACATGCACAGTTAGATCCACCCATCTATTTCTTTGGTTTGTTAAAAGTGGCATACTTAATAAACCTGGTGACGTTTAAATAGTTGTCAAAATAGGGAGAATTTCTCATCATGGACCATTTGGTAAGGACTTTGCCCTCTACCTGTAATAAATTCATTGCTAGTCCTGACTTTAACCCCATTTCATTTTTAACCATTAATTAACAAGACTGTTTTCTGATAAATAAGATAACATGAAGTAAGACTAAATTTTTGTTTTATTTGGCCCAACATTACTTAATGGCTTTATTTAATCATGTTACAAAACTTAAATCTATACAACTCATTTTCATGTTGACAATAATACTAGTAACAGAGATGACAAACAAGTGTTAGATCAGTAATATTGTTTTATTTAGTTACCATGGCTATAGCTTTATGTTACAGCTTTATTTATTTCTTGTGACAAAATGTAGCATTGGGTTCACAGGTACTTGGGTCGTGGTTTATAATATAAATATGTATGAACCCTCATACATATTTATATTATAAACCACGACCCAAGTACCTGTGATTGGGTTAGTTGTATCTGATTTAATGGCGACACATATAGTATATTTTCTATTATAACTATTTTGTAATATACATAATGGCTGTAATTTAACTGATTTGCAGAGTGTCATTCGGTTACATTGGTTACAATCCTTACCCTAGCCCCAATGAACCAATTAATCTTAATTAACCATATTCCCAACCTAACCCCTTTCCCTAATCTAAAACACTAACTAACCCACATCCTAACTAACAGTAATCCCTAACGTTTATTTCCACCCTAACTAACCTTTATCCCAATCCAAACTTAACCTTTATCCCAAAATCAACTAACCTTTATCCCAATCCCAGCTAACCTTAATCTAAATCCCAACCCTTACCCTGACCCCAAATCCTAACTAATTATAAACCCAACCTAACCCTTCTCCCAAATCCCAAACACTAAGCAAAACCATAACTAACCTTAAACTCTAATTAATCCAAACCCAATTTACTCAATTCCCAGCACTGACCTAATTTTAACCCTTAGTACCTATATTTACATGTATTTCTTAACCTAAGTTTCCAGCAACCACTGTAACCTGACTTAAATACATAAGAGTTGATTAACCAATGTAACCAATGTGGTTGCAATTGGAAAGGGGTAAAAGTCGGAACTAAATGATATGTTAACTTGACTAATTTTATCAGAATGGCAAAACTTGGGCAGAAAATTGTGAGGGCGTTTGAAAATGAAGAACATTGTGACGTACGTATCACACTAGCTGATGGAACTTTCATGTGTGCACATTCATTAGTGTTGGTCATTGGTTGTCAATACTTTCATACCCGATTAAATGGAAATTGGAACAGTGGAAAAGGGAACCATGAAGTAAATTGCAGTGATTTTTCTGCAGGCCTTACACGGTCGATGATTAAGTTTCTTTACCAAACAGATATTGATCTGTCAATGGAAAATGTACAGGACATTCTACAAATTGCAGATTTCTACATCGTTCCTGATTTAAGAAAGAAGTGTGAAGAGTTTTTGCTCTGTTCAATATCATCTGAAAATGTTTTTTCCATCCTGAATATGGCTTTTACATTTAGCATAGAAAATGTTTTGTCATCTGCATTGTCATTTATTGACAATTATTTAGAAAACATTATGTCTATCAGAGAAAATGCAGGCTTGTTTTGTACATTTCATAAAGATCTGTTAATTCTTTTAATCAAAAGAGACTCAATGTGCATTCATGAAGAAAAACTCTTCAAATTTGTTGTTATGTGGATGAAATCTGAAAATAGAGCTGAACCTGTTTGTTGGAATACACTTGTTCCTCACATTAGATTTGGAAGAATGTCTATTGATTTTTTCATAGAAAATATTGTTTACAAAAATGTTATAGAAAGTGATTATGCTTTGAAAATCATGTTATATATGACCTCTTTATCTACACAGAAAGATGAGATTGATCACAATACATATCGTCCAAGAAAGTGTATTTCTTTAAATGACCGTGTAGTGAATAGGTTTTTTTTCCATAGTCCGGATAGTACATGGGAATATGATGCCATTTATGGTGACCGACTAGCTTTTTCTGTAAACTCAGATGTTAGATTATCAGGAGTTATTCTCTTTGGTGCCAAAAACTGTTCATTGTGTGTCGAAATTACCCTTTTTTCAGAAGACTGTATTGTTACATTAAAAATACGAGAGGAACTTGGAGATGTTTTTGATTTTCCTGTAATTTTTCCAAATGTTGTAGAGATAAAAAAAGAAAAAAATTATACCATTGTTGCAAATGTTAGTGGAAGTAATGTCTTTTTTGGGGTGGATGGTGTAGAGTGTGTAAAAACAATGATTGACAGGAATACAAAGGCTGAAGTTAAGTTTTTTGACAGTGTAGGTAGCAAAACAAATACAAGAAGAGGTCAAATTAGAGGTTTAATTTTGTGCTAAATTTAAATTTTTGCTGACAGACATTTTACACGTTTAAAGTTATTAAACTTTATAAATTGTTTGGAAAATAGCTTTCAATTTGAATTCCTTGGATTATCTTAAATCTTCTATTAATAACAAAGTTAATTTGTTAAACTTTATTTATGCATATATTTTCAAATTGACTATGGTAATTTTTTATTTGCTGAACCAATTGCAATGCATTTATTAATTTAAATGCATCAAATATATCATTTGTCATTGCTATGGTTACATTGTATTAATATATTGGTCTAATGGACAAGCATTTTACTGCATATGTGATTAGATTTATAGTGATAACAGAATACAGATTTTGTGTGTGACTCATAAAAAACAAATATATCATGTATATGAAATACTATTAGAGCTTGAAATGTATTCAGTTTGTCAGAGGTTATGTACTTGTACTGCATAAAAGATAATAAATGTAAAACTCTTATTTTATTTCATAAGTCCCTTTTTTGGTGAAACTGGACGGGATTTTTTTTATATACAAATCGGGTTTGTTCTTTCGCAGAATTTTCTCAAAATCTATTCATAGCTCAATGTTAATGGTAAAAGTTATTTGAATATGGAACTGAGCCAAATTAAATGTAAGCAAAAAAGAATGATACTATGAAACGATGATGTGTTTAAAAAGTGTATGAATTACATTATTATGACAAACGTTGATTAAGAAAATAGATTAGATTTAACTATAAGAGTTTTTTTTAGAAAGCTGCTTAGGTATTGAGAGGTAATATTCACAATTGGCACACAGTATTGTAATATTGAATTGGGCTAATATCCAAGCAATGTTTTACAAAAGAACTAACAACTTCTGATCAAATTTATAATTATTATATTTGAGGTATGTCATCAAACACACCCTTGGTGTTCTGCCATTTTGCCTTATTTGATGTATGTAGTATTACATGAGTTTTAAGAATTCTTTGATCAATAAAGTTTTGATTGAATAGCATGTGTAAAACTACTCCTCACAAAAAGTCAAGCAACTATCTCATAGGTATGTTTTTAAGGGAGAAATAACTTGTAATAGATGGTTTTGTTGCTATACCTTCAATTACAAGTAATTTTTCCTTTAAAAAGAATAAAAATGAGTTTGTTGCTTGACTTTTTGTGAGAGGTATAGATTATATTTTCAGGGTTTAATTTGGTATGTGCACCATAAATGAGGACACAGAAATATGGATGAAAGTAAGTAATATTCATTTTGTAACTTGGGCACTGCAAGTATTTGCTGATGCCAATTAAGCAATCACCTTATTAGTACCCTACCGGTTTCACTGGTATAAAAATATTGTATTTTTATGATCATTATCATTATGACAGACTAGTAAATAAATGCTTGTTGTATATTTTTGTAGATTTAAAAGACATCATTAGAAGTTACCACAGAAGAGGTTTATCTCACAAGGAAATTCACTTTTTACTGAAAATAAGACATGGTCAAAACTATAGGTATGTGTGTGTACATGTATATATAGCTACATGTAATTTGATTAAAAAGAAGGAAAAATAACAATTTCTTAAATTACTACAAAAACAACATCAACCCCACCCATTCTTCAAGCATACATATAAAAAGAACAGAGTTATCAACCAACCTTTTCTTAAAATTTATTCAATAGAAATTAGATTTTATAGCTAGAAGCTACCCACCCCCTCCTTCCTCCAACATTGTTTGAACAGCTTAAAAGAAAGTGAAGGAATTGTATATTGAAATCAAATTCAAAATATAAGGAGACTACCGCCACCCCCTTTTTTCTTCTCCACTTCGAAAAATGATGCTACATGTTTGAATATTAAATACCAGAGTAGTTGCATCTCTTTCCTAGTGCTTTTGTATTGAATATGCACTGTGCAATGCTGCTGCTACCACTAACCTTCTAAAATAAAGGTGTGTTGGTATGTCAATGACATGCTAATTAAGGCTAAGTAATTTTAATAAAAATACATTTTTTATTCACTGAAAGGAATAAAATACTTTAAAATTCTATTTTCGTCCAGTTTCCAATATCTGAAGAGAAAAGTAATGCCAAGATTAAATTTAAATTATAGAAGAGGAAATAGAAACCTGACAGATTTTGCTGAAGTATTGGATCTTATAAAGGTAAATTCAATGTACACACACATACGTGCCTGTGTGTGGAGGGAGAGAGAATATATAAATAAAAATGCATGCATAATGTGTTTGTGTGTTATTTTTACTTTCAGAATGAAGTGAAAATAAAACCAGATCGAAGTATATCTGACATGTTTTTCAGATTGAAAACAATCCATGGGTGCAATGTTCGAAGGTAAAGTAGACTTTTTTAACTATCATTATATAGTTAACACTAAGAATATTTCTCCTTGGTTACACACAGTTGCAGGTACACAGAGAATGTGGAAAAAATGTATTAATTTTTACTTTTTTGATAGAGAATTGGTGAGGCAAATAATGAGAACACTAGACCCTGTCGGCGTGTCCCTCAGAAAGGGAAACAAACTGAAACGAAGACAGTACCTTAGTAAAGGTTTTTCATAATTATTTACCTTGAATGTAGAGTTACATGTGCAAAAAGTTATGGTTTATAATTTTTGTTCAATACATGTACTACATTTGGATTAATAAGATAATATTTTGTTGAATCCTTGTCATTGCAATTTAACAGGTCCCAATTGGCTTTGGCATATAGGTAAGTTAGCATTTTTATGACAAATTGCAAATGGTTTTTTTTTTTTTAACTTTTTAGCCAGTGATTCATTTTGACGTGGTGCGTCCTGCATAAAATATACACAAAATTTGCTCAGTACACATAATTTCACTGTTTGTGCATCCCATTTTAAAAATACACATGCCCATTTTTTCGCTAAGAAGTTCCTTTCTTAACCTACAAACAAGATGCCCGAAATATTCCGAATTAAAACACACTACAAAAGCAGAAATCTCATAGGTCAACACTTAGTAATTTCCAATGAGATCCAATGATACATGACATTACCGTGTTGATGTTGATCATGATGCTACCGAATAAAACGGATAAAATTACTCTGGATCCAGGATATATTAACCAGGGTTTATGAAAAAGTAGACAAGTGGCAGTTGATAACAACAAAGAGGTTCATGCTAAAAGGAACGCTGATCCAGAACGTGCAATAAATGGCTATTGATACAGGCGATAAAGAAACAGGCGAAACTCTGAAGGGTCCCAGTGACAGCACTTTGCCTGTCTCTTAGTATGGTCATTTAAAATTTTAGTTTAGATAAGCATAGCTTGTTTGATATTCATGTTCTATGTAAAATAAATATGGACTTGTTGTTTTCGGCTTGGGACTCATAATTATGGTTAAAAGGGGGCCTTTGGACTCGTGAAGACAATTTTCAAAATGAATCACTGTTATTAAAGTTGTTAAATCAAATTTAATTCATTTTAGTATTTTATTTTCATGCATTATGATACATGTATAGTACTGTGACACATGAGCAACATATACACGTGTAATGTAAATATATAAATATATTTAGTTTCTATGCTTTGAAACCAGTCATTGCAATGTACGTATATTTCAAATACATTGGTGAAGTCTGCTGATCAATGAATGCCAGTAAACAGCAGAATGAATCATTTATGGTGTATATAGATTTTTAAATTAAAAAACTGTATGATATTTAGTATCTTTTTTAATAATTGTAGATCAGTATGATAAATTGAGCCCTTTTGGGATATATATCAGTGGATGCATTGATGGGTAGGTAAACATAAAATGTTGGGAATTTATTAATTATACTTTTTACTATGTCCCTAGAGATGTAGGCGCATTTGATAGCGTTGACAGATTTAGCCCCAGGTTCGAGTCTAGCCTGTCACTATTGCGGTTACGTTGGGCAAGTTACTTTACTAGTGCACTCTCTCCACCCAGTGGTGAATATGGTAATGCAAAAGCTTACAAATCTTACATGTTCCATTGTAATTTTAGGTTTTCCCGCTATGTGCTTTGGGTGGAAGCTGGTGTCAGCAATAAAAACCCCAAAAAGATTGCAGGGTACTTTTTGAAGACTTTGGAGAATGTTAAAGGTACATGTAATTCAGTGCAAAGATTTGGAAGAGTTGGTTTGTTAAATGAATATATTGAAGACAATATCTCATTTGATTTCTGGAGTTAAAGCAAGATGGCTTGTTTTCTGTAATATTTTTTTACCTTTTGCATCTATTAATGTTGATGTATATACATATTGAATACTGATTTGTAGGATTTCCACATATTATTCGAGGAGATGCAGGTCAGTTTTTTTTTAAACCATACAGTGTGATTTTTTTTAAAAAAAAAAGAGAGAGGAATAAATCATGTTATTGATTTGTCAGGCTAGTAATAACATAGATACCCCTGCAAATAAATCTAAAGGAGGTATGCTGGAATCATCCAGTCCGTCTCTAAGGACAAATTTGTCCCCCATCCTATAGATTTTTTTCCTACTGCATAGAATAGTATGGCAATTTGTGCATTTTTTGAAAACCATTTGAATATGTGAACCTGCAATTTTTAAATGAGTTTTCCAAAAGAAAAGTCCTGTTATTAAAATGGTGAAAATTATGGGTGGGCTGCTGTCAAACAGGTACAATCCTCCACTCCCACCCCATCAACATTTTCATTAAAAAAAAGTGTTTTTTAAACAACGAATAATAAAAGTGGGGTAACATAAGAGTCTCAGATTAGCATTTAGACTTCAACATGAAGCTTTAAATGAAAACATAAGACTGACATATCAATCTAAGAGCTATGGTACTTGGGTGACCATCAAGACCTGTGGGCATCTTGTTAAGTTAAAGGGTGTGCATTAACCTTGAACCTTTCAAGGTCAGATGTGAATGTCCTATTAGAATTACTGTAAACCAACTTTTATTCGCGACGACTTTATTTCGCGATTTACCAGGGGTAAACTAGTTCGAGACGATTAATTTTCGCGATCACGCCTATTTAGGTTCTCTTGTTAATAAACACATAGACCATAATGACCGGTTCGCTGCGAGAAATATTCGCGATGACGAGGGTCTCGCAAACTTCGCGAAAATTTCTCGCACGCGAATAAAAGTTGGTTTACAGTATGTCAAAAAAACAAAAAAAAACTCTGGTCAGGAGCATACCTTCTTAAATCTTAATCTAAGTTATACTGCAACCACTGGTTGCCTGTGGTCAAGGTTGTGTGATTAATGAGATTGAATTAAAAGTTCTATGCCAACTGAAAATATTTCTAAGGTGAAAGCAAATTCTCTGAAAAACTTTTCATCCTTATGTCCATTTTTTTATCCAGTCCTTTTGAGACGACTATCTCAATTATGTCTAGTTTATAAACTAATGATTTGTTATTCTCTGGTCTTGATACTTCAACTTTAAAAAAATTAAATAATAGTTGAGCTTGGGTGAAATTGATTACCCATTATAGAAGATAACATGCTTTTGAAACTAATTTTATTGTGAGATTTCGGCCTTCATCTTTTGAGGGTAATTTTTTTGTACCCTAGAATTCTTTTTATTGATTTTATGTGTAAACTACCTTTTTGTTTCTTTATATCCCTGTTTGAAATACCCACATATTTTTTAAGGAACAGAGAATGGGACAGTAGCTGCCATTCAAAACTTCTTGAGAGAAGATGATGATGACTGCTTCAGCAAGAAATCCTTCCTCTATGGAAAATCCACTCATAATCAAGTAATGTTTATTATTAACTATTAGCTAATTTACCACAGGTCGTGTCATTGTGTCATATGTGAAGTTGTTCAAACCCATCCCAATATTAGTGGTTATTGACTGATTTAAAAGCACTGCCCTTTCACTTTGAATTTTGACTGAATGACTGTATATTAAATCTGCAACATAGCTTCTAAATTTTAATGTTTTTTATTGAAGGGGATAGAGAGATGGTGGGGAATTTTGAGAAGAAAATGCACAGATCAATGGATTCATCATTTTAAGGTTAGAAAAATACAAGTATTTTTTCCATCCTTTAAGTAAAGTACATAAGCCGAACACTGTTCATTCTGTGAGAGAAAACTGATCAAGGCCTGTAGGGCCGAGATTACTTCTTTCTCTCACAGAATGGACAGCTTGAGGCTAATATCCAACTTAAAACATTACCTTCATTGTTTTAAGAATGGACACAATCAAGTTAACCTGTTGACAATGCTGATAAATATATTTCTTAACTTTGAACAATAAAACCAGTGTTGCATAGAACTTTCTGTTGTTCACTTAATGGATATGCAGGAGGTTTATATAGCTGTGCTGTAAAAATTTCATATTCATTCACTCTTCTACTAAGCAACACCATCTCATTCTTTATTGGGGAGAGCATTTCTTATTTAACAATATTTAAGGATGTAAAAGATGGACTGCATATATTAACACTGTGATAATCTGGATATGGAGGGTGGGAATGTTGTGCCAACTTTTGATATGACTTAAATTACAATATCATTTGATGAAATGATTAAGCCAACCAAAACAAAGAATGCATTGACCGACTCAGATGCAGAAATTTTTCCAGGGGTGTGGAGGAGGTTGACGGTCAAGGTTTAGTTTTATGAACCTTTTTCCTATGTAGTTCGGATGATCAAGAATTAACTTTTAGATTGTGAAGAATATGATTTTAAATGTAGTGCAGTGAAATTTGTTATAGTGTATGTTCTGATCATATCTGATGTGATTTGTGGTTACCAGTTATTAATATGATAAAATGCATTAATTATACCCCCGCTCTGAAGGAGAAGGGGGTATACTGTTTTACCCTTGTGTGTCTGTCTGTCTGTCTGTCCGTAACAAAAATTTTTGTCGTATTTTTCTCAGCAACTATTCATTGCAGGTGCTTAAAATTTTAACACACTATTTGTTTAGGAATTCTATACACTTGTATATATTTTTGTACACATTTTTTGGAGGTCAACTTCCTGTTTAAGTCCACTTTGCTTATTTTGTATATTCACATTAGAGCGGTGGTATTACAAATGAGCATTGGCTCACAGATATCTTGTTTTGATTCCTGATTCTGAAAAATGGATAGATGTATATCATACTGGATAATATATACTAAATATAAAAGCTAAAAATAAACAAAGGATTGGGTAAAAAAAAAATGGTTTAAGATGGGTATTCAAGTTTAGGCAATATTGTTCTGCTTTTCTATTTATTTTTCTTATGGTTTTCAGGAATTAGAAAAAGATGGTCATTTTACAATTGGTGATGATCTTCATATGTAAGTTTGCTTTTTACTTAGAAATAACCAACAGATTAAATAGGCTAACTATTCAATCATTAATAGAATTAAAAAAAAAATTGGCCTCTGTAGCTATAAAGGTATAGACAATTCAAAATTCCTCGGACTCTTGAACTACTCCCCCATGTGAATGAATCTAAAATAATAAAGGCAAGGTAACAGTCATAGGACTCTAAGATAAGGGTTTAGAACTCAAAATGAAGCTGAAAATGCAAACATGAGACTCTGACATGTCAATCTAAGGGTTATGGGACTCAAGTGACTGTCAAGGCCTCTTGTTGTTTATATTTTCTGTTGTCTTTGCTTTGTCAGTTGCTACCGGTTTGTCAGTATATCACACAAATATGTGTGGTTTAAATTCAATATCAAAAGTATCAAAAGCTAATGAACCAATCAGATCCATGTTTGAAGCCAAGAAACTAATATCAAGTTTCATTTCAGAACTTTAGTTCAGTACTGCTACATGCAGATTATCAGAGAAGAATTGGAAGAAGTGAAATTTGCCTGGAATAACCACAGAATCAGGAAACAAAAATCAGGTGATATTGTTCCTGGGATACCTGAGCTCCTTTATCATGTTCCTGAAATGTTAGGTCAGTTTACTTGTTTTGATTCTGGAATCATTTACAAAGTGATCAAATTTCGGTTCACATATTTTTTTTTGCTGAAAGTAAAAATAGGTTTGTATTTGAAAGTTCTTTAGATTCAATTTTTTATATGTAACTCTTGTGGACACTGTTAAAGACTACAATGCTGGATCAACAGACTTTTGTACATTTGTTAACTGATTTTTTTTCTCATAGAAAATTGTGTATAAATGAACTTAAAATCAAGAAATTTCATCATAAGTTGCTTACAAGGAACTGTGTTACAAAAAAAGCTTTATACCAGACATTTCCCCATTCCTCTTGTGTTAAAGTAGCATGTACATGTATATATCTATAGTAACAATTAAAGAAAGTTAAAATTTTGGCCCCTGTCAGAGTAATGCATGAAATTTAAAGTCTCTTTTTAAAAGATCATTTAATATGTTGACATACATGTATATATAACCTCTTAACCCCATCTTTCCAAGTCAAGAGTTTCTGATCTGCTCCTCTCTACATAAACCCTTGATCGAATAGGCAGTTCGTCTCAAATTTATTTGACAATGATTCAACATTGATCAATGCACAATTAACATCATTATTGAAACCACGTTTCTTATTGGATCATGCAAACTTGTATGACACCAACCAGCGTGCGAGGTTTCTAACCCAGCCAAACACTGCCTATTCGGTCAAGGGTTTATGTAGAGCGGAGCGGATCAGAAAGTCTTGACTTTGAAAGATGCTTAACCCACAAGAAAATGACTTGTTTCGCTGTGTAATACTTTTATAAGAGAAAAAAATTGCAATTGTTTACCTATGTCCTATGAAACACATCGTTTAAGAACAACAAGGTCACAAATGATTTAATATATACAAAGTATTTTCCTATGAAAATGTAAGAATTTTTCCAAAGGAATTTTATATTGAAAACTGAAAAACATGTTTAGTTAATTGTGTATGATGTTTTATTTCATTTTTTATTTCAGGTAATCCACAGTGCCAAAATTATCTTCATTATATCGATGTTAATGATGAGCGGTTTCATTTTCTGAAATCTCAATGCTGCTTTCAAAATGACTTGGATGATGACATTAAGGAAGCTTTTGACATCATCTCAGACTATTACCGTCCTTCAACAATATTAGAAGCCAGAACTATGTATATTGCACTCAAAGATGTATTGGAACACCAAATATATCATTATTTTTTTTGCTTTTTTTTTCCGGGTATTTTATATCCTATTCTTATAATTAATGATATATTCTATAAATTCTGGGTTGTGTATGTTTAATTATGAACATCTGTTTGTACACATCAAGTACATGTACATTGTACATCATCAGGAAACATATTATATGGGATGGGAATTGTAAAACATGTACAAATGGAAAAAAAAAACAATAAAAAAAAATATCAATGCATTGAATTTTAATGTATATTATCCAGTAGTTCTTTTAATGTTCTTTATATTACTTGGGAGTTTAACCAGTGAATGCAAATTTAAAGAGTCCTGCAACTTACTACTATGCCTCCCAGATAACAATTTCACAACTTGTTGACAATGTGACACTACTGAAGAGTGCTTAAAAAGTTAAAATGTAAATACTTAAGTAAGGCATTTCTAATGCTCAACCAAAATTTGAACATCGGTCGTCAAGTTGTAAGTGAGATACATAGCACACAATTCTTTGTTATGTAAACAAATCTCGAGTTATGTTTTTGTTTACATTTTGAATTTTCCAGGTTTAGACCTAAAATGAATCCGACAAATGCTAGAAACTACTTGTTTATGTTCAAAACTAATCAGAAGAAAGAAAAATCAGTTTGAAAAAGATCTTTTTTCGCTATTTTGACCAAATGGAAACAAAAACATGACCGGAGCCTTGTTTACATGACAGAAAAAATTTGAGATCTGTATCTTGCTCATATCTGTAACTGACGCTCAAAGTTGGTTTATAATTAGAAATGCATTTTAAAGCATTGTTAAAAATGAAAGCAGAAATATCAAATTTGACCATAAGCAAGACCATGCCGCTTGATAGTAATGAAGTTAATGTTTAACTTGACTGAATTTCAAACGAAACTTTTTGGCCAAAAACTCACGTTCTAACCAAGTACAACATGATTACAGTGAAGCACCATGTATAAGTGATTTTGGTTGGTTATTTCAATACATCTACTTAACTTACCAATGCATTAATAAAACTTGCTTTAATGAAGTATGAATTTATAATAAAAAAAAAAAGCTGTATTTGAGTTTTACTGTAAGTCCTTCAACCTAGATTAAGCAATATAATAATATAAATAGATGTTGGATTAACGATATTTGAAAGTGATTAATACTTGAATGAATCAGATTCTGAAACTAGGATTAGTGAACTGATACTCTGTAAAGGTCAAAATTTCAGTATCAAAATAAAAAAAAAGTTCAGGTGTAATGGGATGCCTCCATATTTTGGATATTGTTCTGATCAAAATATACCAGAAGAATCAAGTATAATTTTATGAATCATTCCTTACCCATAATTGTTACCAAACGGTATATAACAATCGGTTTGTCTACAAATCTTTCATGTCACGAGTTCCAATACTGCTGGGGCTTTTATAATTTTGACTTTTCCAAAAATATTTTAAAGACTCTTTTTGGTCAAATAGGTACCATTTTAAAATTCTAAAAAGGTGTATTTTGATCGTGTACTTTTATCCACATTAAAGTGGATTTAGTGAAAAATTCCCTTTGGGGCGATGGAGAACAAAAATAATAGTACATTGGTTATATCTGACCTTGATTCATTTTTAATAGTTCCTCTGTCAAGATACCCACTTTTTACATTCAATTTGAGGATAAACAGTTGATCACTGATATAATAATAAGATATAATAAAGAAGAAAATGAATATTGTGTTATTTCTTATGTTTATTAAATTGTACAGGATCATTCCAAACATTAATCCTTTCCAAATCCATGCATTGATAATATTTTCTGTTTTTTTATTCGCTCTATTAATGCTTGATACAAAGCAGCCATATTGCTGTCTATGAAAAAAAATCTCTGCTCATAATGATATCAAATGCTCAATAATGAAAAATGGTACTCTATACAAATGTGATGGGGAAAAGAAAAAAAAACTGCTACAAATTTATATTCTCTTGTTACATGAGAACATCCCCAAATCCAGTGAAAGTTTCTTCTGTGGCAAAATACTAAAAAAAAAAAAAGAGAAGAATAAATTTCCTCATGTAATTTCATTCAAATTTTGTATCAATTCTTTTATGAGACTTAATTTATGTCTGTTCATGCAAAAGCAATTCTTGCTTGTGTTCAACTTTTCATTACAAAATGATAAAGAACCTTACTTTGTGATAGCAATGTATATGCAAGTATAAAATGCATTTTCTTAGTGGGCATTGTCAATTCTTAGTGGGCATTGTCAATTAATGATGGTTTCTGAAATACCTACCCCTTCACGCAGGTATAATATATTTGGCAAGTCCCCCACTTTCACTTTGAAGTTGTTTTTTAGTTCATAAATGTGCGGGCAACTGGGGTTAGGGCAGTTGGTGGGCGACACTCCAAGTGGAAAACGGGGGGGGGGGGAGAATTTCAGGATCGACCTCCACGCATATCCAGCTGAAAACGCTCTGAAAAGAATATAAAATAATTACTTAATAATAACTTGCACGACTTGTTGTACTTTGTGTTGATTTGCACTGCATTAATTACTCATTATAATACAATTAACCTTGCAAGTAAGTTAAAAATTTAAATCCAAATCATCAAATCTATTGAGGGCAAACAGGGAGTATACCTATAAGATTTATTGAAAGGGCAATTTAAAGCTGAACCCTACTCGTAAATGGGCACCATCACACAGTTATATAAACCATTCAATTAAGTTACACCCAATTGCACACATGAAACTCGACGTGTAGTTTTGATGTGTAGTTTTCCTTTCGTGGTCTTTGGATTTTATGCATTTATTTCTTTTCTATGTACATATTCTATTTCTAAATATTTACACTTTCAACTCTCTTTGTCTGTGATAACATTACATTTTGAAGCCTATAGCCCAATAATTTCATAACAAGAGGCCCATGGGCCTTATAGGTCACCTGAGTATCATGCAACAATTTTCCAACAATTGAATTTGATTCATGTCTTAAACTAGAGGCCATGAAAATTACAATTTTGAAAGAGGCACCATTGCTTATCATAATTATACACTCAGCATGCTAATTTTGGTTACTTAAAACCCAGAGGTAGATCAGAGCAACAAAGAGAAAATGCATTTCCACTTTTAGTGAATTTCATGGCCCCTGGGTCAGGGCTTCTTATGTTAGGGCGGGTCCATAGTTGAGCTCCCCATCCCACAGGAACCACTGACCCTGGGGCCACATCTTTCGAAATTTTGGAAATTTTTAAAAATTTTATTTCATCATGCTGTTGATTAATACCAAAGTGCAAACTTCAAAGCATTAAATTATTTCAGACTATGTTACTCCCCACCCCCACCCCAAAGTACCTCTGCCCCAGGGGACAGGAAATTAATCATTTTTGGAAGAAGCAGTTTTTTCATAAATATATACTAAGATCATTGGCATTATACCAAATAACAAAGGAAAAGATTTTCAAAGAATTCAAGCATTTTCACTATATAAACATCAGAGCCCCCCCCCCCCCACCCCCTAACACAAGAATCTCTAACCCAGGGACCCTGAAGTTCAAAAATCTCAAAGAGGCATTCTTCCTCCTCATAACTATGTACATAGTTTATTGGTTAAATGCTCAGGTGCAGAAAAAAAGAGTTTTAAAGAATTTATGCATTTTCACTATATATTCAATAAAGCCTCACCCTAACGCCAGAATCCCCAACCCAGGGGCCATGAAATTCACAATTTTTGAAGAGGTAGCTTTATTCAACATAATTAAATACTTATGTAATTATGTGGTTAGTTTATTTAATACTCAGGAGCAAAGAAGAAAATTTTTTCAAAGAAATAATTCATTTTTTACTATATAATCTATATAGCCCCGCCCTAGCACTAGAACCCCTGACCCTGGGGCCATGAAATTCACAATTTTGGAAGAGACAGCCTTATTCAACATAGCCATGCACTTGATTAGTTTATCTAATGCCCATGAACAGAGAAGAAGAATTTCAAAGAATTTATGCAATGTCACTATATAATCTATATAGCCCCACCCTACTACTAGAACCCCTGACCCTGGGGCCATTAAATTCACAATTTGAGAAGAGGCAGTCTTATTCAACGTAACTATACACTTGGTTTGTTTATTTTAAATGCCCACAAACAGAAAAGAAGAT